GAGGCTGGAGGCTGGAGGAGGGAGTGGGAGCTGGTCAGCCAGCAGAGAGGGGCAACCAGCAGAGAGGGCCAGTTTTGCATCCCCTTTATTCCCTTAAATCTTTAACTACTGGAGTTTTTTTGTTCCCCTTTGTTTTGTTTTGTTTGTTTTCATTTCTTCTTAATTCTGTCACCTCTTAGGAAGATCTGCAAGATGTGTGCTGGGAAAGTAGAGACACAAGGGCAGAGATCACAGGAAATAGCTGGGGATCTAAAATGACTTCTCTTGTGTCAGGAAAGCTGTAACCCCTCTGTTTGTTTGTTTGTTTGCTTGTTTGTTTTCTCCTGGGGACCCCTAGCTTTTCTGCTCATGTGGATCCATTGATGGGACTCCTTGGTATGGTAGCCCCTGGTGGACAGTGTGCATCAGCAGGGTCCTTCAGAGATGAAAAGTACAGCCCAAAGACACCTCTCACCTAGGACATCGAGCATCGCCCTAGAGCCATCAGGGGCTGGGTGGGGATCTGTCTCCTCTTTCCAACTCTGTGAGGGGCTCCTGGCCCATGGTTCTCCTCCAACACCCTGTTTTCCAATCCCTGTGCTCACCACTGTCTCCAGACCTTCCCAGTGAGAAAGGATTCTTCTCACCGTGATGCCTTGAGACTGTCCGTGACAGTTTCTCAGGGCTTCCTTCAAGGTCAGGGAGCCTGCCTGATTCCTGGGACTCCCCAATTTCTTCAGGATGAAATACATTTCACTAGTTCTCAAACTCATGATTTTAGTTGCTATTTCTAAGAAATACGATATTGGTCATTTATTTCTATATTTTATGGGGACTTACAGAAGCTGACACTGTGTTTTTCAGATATGTCAATTATTCTTTCTAATTCTTCCTTTTTCTCTTAAGTTTGGGTCCTCCTGAAGAGGAAAAGTATGCAGAGCAGGCCCAAGCCAGGAGGCCCCAGAATTTGGAAAGTTACTAACAATAAGCTAGAGATAACCAGAAGCCCTCCTGGGAGCAAAAGATAACCAGCCATTTCTGCTTCTGTAAACAGGCTTCCCGGCACAGGCTCCCCGCACTATTGTCCCCGCCTAAAGCAGCCCCCACTCCCCCAGTTCAAACCCACCTACCAGCAGTCAGCAGAGCCCTTGGAACCTGACTGCCTGCATCCCCTATAAAAGCCCTATAACCCCATTGCCCGGGGCCCAGAACTTGGAGCACGAGCTCATCTGGGTCCGCTGGCGTAAAATATTTCCGAGTTCTCCTACTTCTCTGAGGGTCACTTGGTCTCTCTCCGGTCTGACATTTATTTTTCCGCAACACTCCTTATCTTCAAATATGGTGCACATAAAATTGCATACTTTTCTCCAGTGTATCAAAGGTTCCTTTGATAAATAGACACAAAGTGATTGAGTAGGAACCGGTGTGTGACATAAGTTGGGCTCGCAAACGCAGACACTGAGGAGGACAAACAGCAACCATCCCATTGTAGGAAACAGACAGTGTACTAGCAATTCTGAAGTGAATATAAAATCATATTTTATTCATCGTGATGAACACCGCTCTGACACTTAAATGTGTGTTTAAAGAATGTAGGGGAGGTGGGCCTGGGTGGGTCAGTCAGAGAAGCATCTGCCTTAGGCTCAGATCATGACCTCAGGGTCCTGGGATCAAGCTCTGGGTCTGGCTCCGTGGGGAGTCTGCTTCTCCCTCTCCTTCTGTGCCACCCCACCTCAGCTTATAAGTGCATTCTCTCTCTAATAAATAAATAAAGTCTTTAAAAAAAAAATGTAGGGAGAGCAAGATGGCGGAGGAGTAGGAGACCCAGATTTCGTCTGGTCTCAGGAATTC